AACTTAGGCACGATTTGCTGCTGCTAGATCAGGAGGCACATAGTTCTCTCGCCTCCCCCTGCAGTTAGCACTAAGCAGACTCAGAGTCATCCATTGTGACTCTGGACTCTGGCAGCAACTACCTTAGCCTTTTTCCTTTTAATTATTCTTTTCTTTTCCTCATGACACTGGTCATGCCTCCCCTGACTGCACGTCCCTGCAATCAACTCCCAACAGTTCTGTATGATTCACCAATAGAGTTACAATCAGAAACAAAAATAAGAAGTAAAAGCAAAATGACAGAAACTGGACAAGGTTAGAAAAAAGAACTGATTCCTGCCTTCATTCACCTTTGTTAAAGGCCTGGGAGAAGAGTTAAGACTTTATAACTGTTCTAAATAACAACAAAGTGAGACACTTCCTGATTTCAGGGAGGCAGACACTGCTACAGAGAAAGTAGGCTTCTAGGGTTCTGATAATGTTTAATTGAAAGAAACCAGAGTGTGACAATCCTGTCAGGCAAACTGATTAGATACTGTGAGCATTAGGCCGTTGCCCAACTAACCTGGTCTTATAACATGAATGGTTTTATAGGTAATAGACAACACTTGAATCATACCAAGAAGCAAACTGACAACCCGTGCAGTTCTTGGAGCAAAAGTATTATATGGACATACCAAAGCATGCCCATCACTGCTCATTCTGTTGAAACTTCTAGGTGTTCTTCTAGGTGTTTTTCAAGGACAGCCCTATGTACAACACATTGCAGTAGTCAAGCAGTGGTGATCAGAGTGTAGCAACTGTGTAAAGCATCTCCTGATCAAGAGCCTGCTCTCTGGCTCTGGTTATCCATGATATATGTTTTGTGTTTTTAAAGCTCTCCATGTTTTGCCACAGCTTGTCTTTGGGATGGTCACAAAATAAAAGATGTACAAAAATCAAAAGTTACATTTTAAAAAAAATAGATCTCTAGAAATTACAATTACTTTTAAATTGCTAATAGCTATTTAGCAGAAGTACACACATGACTCACATTTAAATTCCACCTATTTTTCCTGTTAATTTGCAGTGGGTGTGAATCAATGCAAAAAGTAGAATTAAAAAAAAATTGGTTAAAAGCGTATTTTAAACATAAAATGGTTGGCTGAATGGAAGGTTTAGCTTTCTTGTTAAATTAATGTCATAAAGTTTTAACTGATGTTAAAGAGACATCATTATTAAAGGCTAGAATTACATAAATTAATATGTAAATTATGACAAGAAGATTCTTTATCATGAGATAATCAAAGATAATCAGCCCCCTGGGGTGCTGTAAGGAACAAGGCACAGCTGAGTGCTTCAAAATCTTTTAACAAGTAAGATACTGAGAAATCAAGAGCTCAGTATCCCGAGACAGAAAAAACAAAGAAAATATTTTATCAGTGCTATAAAAGTTTGCTGCATTCTAATCCTCTACCTAACTCCTATTCCTTGTTCTCTGGTTCTATCTTCGTTCTTCACACTTACAGCAATCAAAATTTAGTCTCTCTTATTCTTAACACTTAAATCTATTTCAAGATTCAATGTTTATATCCATTAGACTCATTTTAAGTTCCACTTCCCAATCTTCACTTATGCAAAACAATCTTACCTCTCTTGCGATATATTTGGGCATGGTGGAATTCTTGGAATAATATAGAAAATTAGTTTGAAGAAATCTAGGCATGTGGAATCTTACAATTCAAGAGAAATATGCTTGCCTCTAGATTTCCATATCCTGGCCTATTTTCACCATATCATTGCCAAGGCAGCATAGTTCAATAAAGATGGAAGATGGGTGACAAATGGAGGAGGCAAGAGTAAAATTGTCCTGTTTTTTCATTATTTTGATGAAATACAAGTTGTTGTTTTTTTATTTCCTTTGAAGTAGAGCTTCTGCTGAGGCTATGATGAACTAGATGTCCTCAAAGGAGTGGAAACAGCTAGTCAAAGATAGAGCCCAGAGGGCCAATGCTGGACATTGAAATCTCTCCAGATAAAAGAGAGATGATTTAAGAAATTTTAAATGGACAAAGGAGACTATTGTTTTTAAGATTATTTTTCAATGAAAGTGCATTAGAATGAACTGTAATTAACTTAGACAAGTGGATTCAATCTCTGCAGGAATGATTTTTGCTTATTAAAAACTGCAGACAATTGGTGAATTTTACAAAAACGATAACAGTAATATTGTTTGTCTGACTATAACTATGGAGATGTAGATATAAGGTTTGACTGCAATTACAGCATTACATGTACAGCAAAAGGAAAAAGAAAAGAAAGCAAAGAAAAAAGAAAAGAAAAAAGAAAAGAAAAGAAAAAAGAAAAGAAAAGAAAAAAGAAAAGAAAAAAGTGAGAAGAAGGGATAACTTTGCCTTTGCCTTTCTCTTGTTGGAGATATTTTAAATTTAGAATTACAATATAATGGCAAGAACTTGAAAGGTGGCATGCATGGAGAGAAGGGGTAGGTGTTGTTAGAAGAGTCTGTAGAGAAAGGAACATAAGATTTGCTTCAGAAAACATTTCAGTCAGGCGTCCCCAACCCCAGGGCCATACCTATTCGGAATTAGGCAACACAAGTGGCTGCCCGTGCATGTGCACAGTTTAACTTGCATTAGTAGCAGGTTGGTGATCCCTCGTGCACATGCATGCTGAGCCACCAGCCACTTCCAAGCTGCAAAGTCTCTGATTTCAACAATTTAGAATCTCTTGGTACTAAGTTGACAGCCTTTGAAAAAAGAATAGATAAAAGTTTTGTAACGATGAAAAAGGAAGTGAAATAAGTAAGAAAGATGGGAAGCTTTAAAAAGCAAATACCTGGACATATAAATCAAATTAATGATAAAATGGAAATTCTGGTGATTAAGGCAAAAGTTACAGACAGAGAATTGGAAAGAGTACTCGCCATTGCAATATGGCCTTATTGGAATTAAAAAGGAAAGAATTCAGTCTGAAATTCAGAACTATTCCAGAGATTTCTGATGAAGATATTAAAGAGAAGATTATAACGTTTTTGGGAAACTTTTTAAATTGCCAAGAGAAGGATACTGAGGCAGAAGTAGATAAAGTTAATAGAATAAAGTTCAGGATCTGCAACAAGAAATGTTTCAAGAAATGTTTTCATCCATTTTGTGAGGAAGAAGTCTACAGATTTAGATTGTTCTAAATGTTTGGCTTTATCGTGAATTACAAAAGTTTAAGATAGAATATAGTTAAAACAATTCTCTTGAAATGAAATTCTCTTTAATCATTATTTGCAAAAAAAATACTCACTTTAGAAAAAAATGATACAATATTTGATTTATAAAATCTTGGGTGAAAAAATTACTTTAGTTGGAACAAAAAAATCCCAGAAAAATATTTCATATAAAACCCTCAACTAAAACCAGAACTTGTATTGATTGATGATCATGGTAGATTTGCTGGGGGGGGGGAGTTTAATTTACATGGAACTGAGGTTATTATATTGAAAATTTATGCCACAAATGATGATCCTGTAAATGTATAAAAATAATAAAAGTGGGATATAAATAAATAAAACAAAGTGATGTTCTATAAATGACCTATATAGCAATAGCAATAGCAGTAGACTTATATACCGCTTCATAGGCCTTTCAGGCCTCTCTAAGCGGTTTACAGAGAGTCAGCATATTGCCCCCAACAATCTGGGTCCTCATTTTACCCACCTCGGAAGGATGGAAGGCTGAGTCAACCCTGAGCCGGTGATATTTGAACCGCTGACCTGCTGATCTAGCAGTAGCCTGCAGTGCTGCATTTAACCACTGCGCCACCTTGGCTCATAGAGCCAATAGATTATATAGAGACTAATAGATTTCTCCTAATGAAAATTTGAGTGGGGATTGGAATGAAGTGACTTCCAACAAATGAACAGAACTTTACAGAAAAATGTTAAAATTAGTCAAGGAAAATTACCCAAAAGTGTTGTTTTTTTAAATCTGATGGACAATTTAGAGTTTGTTGATGTATGGAGACAGAAAAATGGTAATTCAAGAGAGTATACTTTCTTTTCTGATACACATAGAAATTTTTCAATAATATATTTCAAATGAATATGATTTGGATTTCAAAAAAATTGGTTACTAAGACTCACTCAAATCATAACTCTGAATTAGTATCCAGGAAAGCTGTGGTTTTAATTCTGTATTCTTGGCTCTTTAACTTGATTCTTTGAAAAAATTGTAACCAAATACCTTTTCATGGAAGTAGCCAATTAGTACACTGTTGACAACAGAAGTGTTTCCAAAACTTTCCACAATGTTGATACCAAAATCTTTGCAGGAAGAGATGTGGAAGTTCCAAAGCTGAAGGTTGCTGGTGCTAATAATCTGATAGAATAATATTTTAAAATAACATATTAGCATTGTTTTAAAGTAATATATTAGCATTATTTTGTTGAAAGTGCTTTCAGGGTAGATAGCATAATGCTAACTACAAAGTTTCTCATTAGTTTAAAAGACAATAATAAATCAAGAAGACAAACCTGTGTCCTGCCTCATAAGATAAATCAAAATTTTAAGAAATCATCTAAAATAATGGCAATTTTATTGATTTAATTTTACATGTTAGCAGATGGCAAAAATTAAAAACTGATACTTCCTAAGTTTTGCTGCAATTTTTGTGGCAAGCCTTTCTTCATTGTGAGCCTTAGCTTTCCTTGCTTCATCTTTACAGGCTCGGGCTATTTGCTGATATTCTGCCTTAGTTAACTTTTTTGTCTTTCAATTTGTCAGAGAGGTTTTTTTATGAAGCCATGCTGGTTTTGATTGATTTTGATTGATTTCTG